TCCTATCATAATCGTAATTGTAATCGATTCTAATCGTTACATCAGACTGTTAATTACGCCGCTTCTGTCGTACAGTCCGATTTTAATAAGCCACTTGCATCCTGTCACATCAAAGTTGACAGACCGTCTTTCGTATCGCTTCCCGAGATACTACGCCTTGGCATCAGCCAACACCTGCACTGTGACGTCAGACTGTAACACGTTATGTCTCTTGGTAACTTCCCCTAGTTACATATATATATACTATATATATATATATATATATATATATATATATATATATATATATATATATATATATATATATATAGACCTATAGCCTATATTTGTTTAGATAACTTCATGTTTATGCCTACTCAAGCTTTTTCAGCTATTTTTTAGCGCAATTTTCATACTGGAATTGCGATTATTAATTCGTTATTTCTGGATGGATGAATGAATGAATGGATGTGTGTCCGCAGCTTTACCGCAGCTTTAAGTCGTATCTCCTCCTCAACGAAGCAATATCGAGGACTAGTTCCAAAAGCAAATATGTTAAGCAAGTTCCGAGGATGATTGTGGGCCAAAAAAAATCCTGGAATTCCTTCCTGGATTTTCCTGGAAAAGCCAAAAAACCTCGAAATTTCTGGATGTATGGATGTGTGTCCGCAGCTTTAAGTCGTATCTCCTCCTCAACGAAGCAATATCGAGGACTAGTTCCAAAGCAAATATGTTAAGCAAGTTCCGAGGATGATTGTGGGCCAAAAAAATTCCCGGAATTCCTTCCTGGATTTCCCGGTAAAGCCAAAAAACCTTAAAAAATGCAGTTTTTGGCACATATCTCGGCAACCAGACCACTTAGCGACTTGAAACATTCACCAATAGATTCCTGCCATAATTTAGAACAATATTGCCGAAGAAAGTTTTCAAAAATATCCTTTCGTTCGGTCACAAATTTTTTTTTTAAATTAGAAAACAACTACAAATCGATCGTTCTCCTAGCTTGAATGCACCGCAGCATTATACGTCTTTTTTAAACTGAGCATCGTGTAGGCCTACTCGTTAAAATAAAACTATTCCCGTTGATATATAACATAAGGAAATTGCGCTTAAATTGTCACTAGACTTTTTATTAACTTGTTTTTACTAATATTAACCCTTGCGTTAAATAGCACGTAGTATGTTAGTTTATTTTTCGTGTAAACTATGTAAACTATGTGGGGGGTGGGCTTATCGTCATTAATAAATACCACCCCTCCCCTCGGCGGTTTATTGTACGTCATGCCTTAACCTGCCCCAAGACAAGTCTAGAATTTAAAAATGTCCATTTATACAATGGGTCCAAGAGGCAATGGCTTCAGCTGCATACGACCCGGAATTTGTTTATGCTGGTTGCTAGGCAGCCGGGAAAACAAAGTCGTGGCATTGGATCACTGGAACAATGGTTTCGTAACACACGACTAGTCGAGCTGATATCGACGCTAGCCGGGTCTATGTGTGTATCCCACATTGGCTGGCCAGAGCTGTTGAGAAAACTGTTGAACATAAATTCTTTAAATATTACAGCGAGCTTATGGTACAGTGGACGCAATTAAAATAGGTTTCAGTTTCCGCTAAATAATAAATGACAGAGCTGTTGAGACAAGAGAAATGGGATGGTGTGAAGCGGAAGTAACTGTAGCGGGTAGCCTGTTGACGGTAGCCTGTAGCGGGTAGCCTGTTGACTGTAGCCTGTAGCGGGTAGCCTGTAGCGCGTAGCCTGTTGATGGTAGCCTGTTGACTGTAGCCTGTAGCGGTAGCCTGTTAATGGTAGCCTGTTGACGGTAGCCTGTAACGGGCAGCCTGTAGCGGGTAGCCTGTAGCGGGTAGCCTGTTGACAGTAGCCTTAAGCGGGTAGCCTGTTGACGATAGCCTGTTGACGGTAGCCTGTAGCGGGTAGCCTGTAGCGGGTAGCCTGTTGACGGTAGCCTGTTGACGGTAGCCTGTAGCGGGTAGCCTGTTGACGGTAGCCTGTAGCGGGTAGCCTGAAGCGGGTAGCCTGTTGACGGTAGCTTGTTGACGGTAGCCTGTAGCGGGTAGCCTGTTAACGGTAGCATGTAGCGGGTAGCCTGTAGCGGGTAGCCTGTAGCGGGTAGCCTGTTGATGGTAGCCTGTAGCGGGTAGCCTGTAGCGGGTAGCCTGTTGACGGTAGCCTGTTGACGGTAGCCTGTAGCGGTAGCCTGTTAATGGTAGCCTGTTGACGGTAGCCTGTAGCGGGTAGCCTGAAGCGGGTAGCCTGTTGACGGTAGCCTGTTGACGATAGCCTGTTGACGGTAGCCTGTAGCGGGTAGCCTGTTGACGGTAGCCTGTTGACGGTAGCCTGTTGACGGTAGCCTGTAGCGGGTAGCCTGTTGACGGTAGCCTGTTGACGGTAGCTTGTTAACGGTAGCATGTAGCGGGTAGCCTGTTGACAGTAGCCTTAAGCGGGTAGCCTGTTAACGGTAGCCTGTTGACGGTAGCTTGTTAACGGTAGCATGTAGCGGGTAGCCTGTTGACAGTAGCCTTAAGCGGGTAGCCTGTTGACGGTAGCTTGTTGACGGTAGCATGTAGCGGGTAGCCTGTTGATGGTAGCCTGTAGCGGGTAGCCTGTAGCGGGTAGCCTGTTGACGGTAGCCTGTTGACGGTAGCCTGTTGACGGTAGCCTGTAGCGGGTAGCCTGAAGCGGGTAGCCTGTTGACGGTAGCCTGTTGACGGTAGCCTGTTGACGGTAGCCTGTAGCGGGTAGCCTGTTGACGGTAGCCTGTTGACGGTAGCCTGTTGACGGTAGCCTGTAGCGGGTAGCCTGTTGACGGTAGCCTGTTGACGGTAGCTTGTTAACGGTAGCATGTAGCGGGTAGCCTGTTGACAGTAGCCTTAAGCGGGTAGCCTGTTGACGGTAGCCTGTTGACGGTAGCCTGTTGACGGTAGCCTGTAGCGGGTAGCCTGTTGACGGTAGCCTGTAGACGGTAGCCTGCTGACGGTAGCCTGTTGACGGTAGCCTGCTGACGGTAGCCTGCAGACAGTAGTCTCTGGTCAGCTGACTATAACTTATCTAATGTAAACAAGCTTAACGTAACTGCATTGTCATTATCAACTTGTCGCTTCGCTTGCTTGTGTCAATCTGATTATCACATCAAACCATTTCTATGGGGGTGTCACTTCATTGAATTTTCTCAACTAGATTGTCACTTCATGTTCTCTATTAAATCATGGTCATCTAACAAGTCTTATTCCACCCAAACTCGAATTTAGTGCCAATTAGTCTAAGGAAGTAAAGTTCCCCTTTTGAACCTGACGGTCCACGGGGCAAGGGAAGTAGAGTTCAACTGTTTCTTTGAGCTCAGCACTATGGCAAGCCGCCTTTACTTTCCCTAACGTGAGTTAGGTACCCATTTGAGCTGGGTGGACTCGGTGACGTTCTATTGACTTGAACCCTGATTCAAACTCGAGACATTCGGGTAAGCGGTGTAGCTCTCTACCGCTAGGTCACGCCGTCCTATAAAAGTAAGACCCATTAATGTTGCCCTTTTCTAATCTTAATATAATTTCTAGCCCATTCACCAAACTTAGCTTTTTCTAACCTTTTGGCAACCCCGGCTTTCGACTACATCTACCATTTAGTTAATCACAAGTTACCCCTAACCCTGATCTAAATCTAAGACTACCACAACCGTCACCAAACGATCAAAATACCCATAAACCAACACCTGTGCAATAAGTTTACATTTTCAAAAAACTACGAAGAAAACCATTAAGGTCAAGGCTGAGGGGTCAAGGGAAGGGCGATCACAGCCATGTGATCACTTCTATAAAGTGATAATTTTCCGTGTACTGTGATCGTCTGTTGTCCAGTTATTTTGTTGCCATCTGGATGCCATGTGTACTTTAAAATTCAACGTGGACAAAGTGGCTGGTTGGAATCGCCAAAAAACCAACGACGATGGAGAGGTGTTGTTGCGTCCCAATGCTCCACGAAGATGATGATGATGATGATGATGGTGATGATGATGATGATGATATCAGTGTCTGAACGTGACTCTGTACTAACACTAAAGTGATCTAGGTGTATGGACCTTTACTCGAGCAGTGTTTCTTCCAGACTTTTTTCTCCGGTTGTGCACTTGAAATTTTCGGGGGGGGGGGGGGAGACTTTCTTTTGGGGGGGGGGGGGGGGCGGACACTGTTAAAAGTATATATTTTCTATTTAAATTATATAAATTTCATTTCGTTCGGGCGGGCGGTAAAATTTTTTCGAAGAGATGCCTGGAAGAAACTCTGTACTCGAGAATAAGAAGCTAGATCAAGATAGAATCAATCATAAGAATTAGAAAAATAATAATTGGTCTTTATTCTATAAATTTGGCTAAATGTTGAAGAATCTACCTAGAAACTAGACAAAAATCTGCAGTATATTCTAGACATCTTGACAAAATATTTCCAAGAAACTATAGACAAAGATCTGATTGATTTATCCTAGAAACTAGACCAAAATCTGGACAGTCCTAGAAATGAGGCCGAAGTCTCGATGACCGTTCCAAGAAATTGGCCCCAATTCTGGACAAGCTCCATCCTGTCGTGTCGACAACCGACCCACGTCTTTCAAGTTTGTGGGTCTGAGATTTTTCTGCCACGGTTATTGGTTCTGCTGTCACGGTCGATGATTTTCCGATCTGTCCACACTCAAATCCTCCCTGCACTTGCAACATTCGGCGTACATATCCCCCTCACCACCCCCCACCCCCCGCCCGCCCCCCCCCCCCCCCCCCCCCACACACACACCCCAACACGCGAGCCGAGCCATTGTTCGCGTTAGAACGTAACGTCGTAATAGTCTGAAGAGCCCAACACGGAAGAATCAAGTCAACACTTAACAACTACGTCACCCACCCCTACCTTGTTTATCTACTCTACCCTCGCATAAAAAAAGACCCCCCTGATCACCTTATTGCCCCCCCCCCCCCCCACTCCTTAACTACCCGGCTAACGGGAGTTGTGGGGGCTTTGTTTACCCAGTTATTCGCCGCGGGATGTTTTGTTAGCGGGGGTTTGTCTGGGTTTTAAGACCGGGAGTCGTGCATTCAATTACCACACGCTAACAACAGCCGACGACAGTGCCTTTACGTGGGAAAAAAAAGGTAACTTGTTTCTTGTTAGCATCTGCAAGTTTTTCAAATGTAATTATTTATTTACTATTGTATTTCGAATCGTTTCTTTTTTTTTTCGCTTTTATACTTTATAATATAATGGCAATATTGTCCTTGACGAGATTCGTAATTTTTTTTTTAAATTGCTAAATAATCAAACGAATAGTTAAAGAGTTTTGTTTACGCCTTTTGATGGACCTAGCTAAAAAAAAACATTTCAGTTTGATTTAAAATGTATCTACGTGCCTCGTGAATTATGAATTTGACTTTTGTATTGAATAAAGTCTCTAGAAAATAAATATGCAAGTAGATTTCATTTATAAAGTGTTCATTTCTTAATTGTTGATAGAAACATGTACAGACTTAAGGAGCTAGCATGGAGCGAAAGACTTTGGCACCAATGGGGTGGGGGCGGGGGGGGGGGGAGCGCACTTTTCTAAATAAATGTAGATCTACGCCCCCTCGCCTAATGCTATCCTTTTGTGTTAAACCAGTGCAATTTTTAAAATTTTCATCAGCAGTATAAAATGTGAAAAATGTTTCTCTTAGATTAATTTTTAGTTTGGTAGACACTGTTTATAGAGGTTTACAAGTGTTTAAATTATGGTTGAGGTTTAGTTTAATGGTTTGGGTTTGTCAGATTATATAGTATGACGTCTTTATATTCGATAGGGTTTGTGTTAAGTAAGGCTTAGATGTGTAATTTATAAAGACAAGGCTTAGGTATAGACTTGAAGTTTGGTGAATTTTTTTGGAGTTTCTGTCTTTCAAGTGTTTACTATATGTTTAAATAACACTGTCTTCGTTGGAGGGTTGGTGTCTCGTAGTCTCATGTCTTAACCTTGGTATCTTGTAGTGTTTCTTCCAGACTTTTTTCTCCGGGGGGGGGGAAGCACTAGCTTGAAATTTTCGGGGGGGGGGGGGGCGGAGTAAAATTTCCTGGGGGGGGGGGGGGGGGGGGCGGTCACCGTTAAAAGTATAAGAGATGCTTGGAAGAAACTCTGAACCTTGGTGTCTTGTAGTATCGTCTTAATGTTGGTGTAAAATTTCCTGGGGGGGGGGGGGCGGTCACCGTTAAAAGTATAAGAGATGCTTGGAAGAAACTCTGAACCTTGGTGTCTTGTAGTATCGTCTTAATGTTGGTGTCTCGCAGTCACTTGCCTTAAAATTGGTGTCGTAATATCTTCTCTTGACGTTGGTGTCTTGTAACCTCATGTCTTAACATTGGTGTCTCGTAGTCTCATGTTTTAACGTTAGTGTCTCGTAGTCTCGTGTCTTAACGTTAGTGTCTCGTTGTCTCGTGTCTTAACGTTAGTGTCTCGTAGTCTCGTGTCTTAACGTTAGTGTCTCGTAGTCTCGTGTCTTAACGTTAGTGTCTCGTAGTCTCGTGTCTTAACGTTAGTGTCTCGTAGTCTCGTGTCTTAACGTTGGTGTCTGGTAGTTTCAGCATCATGGGTTGCAAAGGGTCAAAGTCCACAGCTGCTGCCGGTGCCGCCAAGGAAGGGGGAGAGCCTCAGACCACCCAGGAGCAGACGACAGAGGGAGGTGAGAGTGCACAGCGTGACGTCACATTTGAACTGTTCATGGAGATGTGTGACGGGGGCAGAGTCAGAGGTCAGTACAACAGTGGCACTAACATCAACATTTCATATAAACACATACACTCACTCACACACATACACACACACACACACACACACACACACATATATATATATATATATATATATATATATATATATATATATATATATATATATATATATATATATATATATATACATGGGTATATCTATAATTATATATTACTCTTTCATATATATATATATATATATATATATATATATATATATATATATATATATATATATATATATATATATATATATATATATATATATATGGCTGTGATATACACAAATCAATGTGGCCATTAAAATCAGGCCCCCCATGAGTTGAATGAAAGACTGGACGAATAAAACTAGTTTAACAACAGGGAAACAATAGAGTTGACGAGGGGTTAAAAAAATCTACAAAAACCCAATTCAATAGCCTGTGATCTGAAGCTGATCTCATACCAATCAATATCCAGCTATCGAACAGATCATCGATTGCGTGTCTACGGCTCGTCTGATCAAAAAGGACACGGTTGACAGGCTCCTGGTTAACTGGGTCACGGTGACCGCCAGACCGTGGGGGGGGGGACACAACGTTGTTGGTGGTTACGTCATACACGTTGACATACAACCAAAGGGTGGGTGAGATAGGGGTGGGAGATCCTCGGAAAAATGTGTCCAACTTTTCAAGTTGTGTATGTATATGTCAACATAATTATTTCTTTACTTTTCGGTTATCGAAAACAGGTAACTAGTTCAATTCATGACATAGGTTTGGTTTTAAGTGGGTTCCATGCTGGGGTATGGCTGGGACGATACAAGGTTTCTTTTTCAAATCTTTTTAATGATATGTACACTTCTGTAAGGAGTGGGGGTTAGTGTTTCTTTCGGACTGTTTTATCTGGGGAGGGGGCACTTGAAATTTTTGTGGTGGGGGACGGACTAAATTTTTCAAGGGGGGGGAGGTATTGGTAAAAACATATTTTCTATATAAATTATAGTTGTAGGCTTACTGGGGGGGGGGGAGGGGCTAAGAGATGTCTGAAAGAAGCACTGGTTGGAGGGAGGGTTGTGGCGAAAGAGAGAGAACAGTGGGCTTCCACCATGGATATGTGACCCCTGAGGTATATGTTTCGTCTCGTGACCCAAACCCACCAACAGGGTTCATCTCACCCTCCTAGATAGATTCAGGGTTCATTTCACCCTCCTAGATAGATTCAGGGTTCATTTCACCCTCCTAGATAGATTCAGGGTTCATCTCACCCTCCTAGATAGATTCAGGGTTCATCTCACCCTCCTAGATAGATTCAGGGTTCATCTCACCCCTCCTAGATAGACGCAGGGTTCATTTCACCCTCCTAGATAGACGCAGGGTTCATCTCACCCTCCTAGATAGATTCAGGGTTCATTTCACCCTCCTAGATAGACGCAGGGTTCATTTCACCCTCCTAGATAGACGCAGGGTTCATTTCACCCTCCTAGATAGACGCAGGGTTCATTTCACCCTCCTAGATAGACGCAGGGTTCATTTCACCCTCCTAGATAGACGCAGGGTTCATCTCACCCTCCTAGATAGATTCAGGGTTCATCTCACCCTCCTAGATAGATTCAGGGTTCATCTCACCCTCCTAGATAGATTCAGGGTTCATCTCACCCTCCTAGATAGATTCAGGGTTCATTTCACCCTCCTAGATAGATTCAGGGTTCATTTCACCCTCCTAGATAGATTCAGGGTTCATCTCACCCTCCTAGATAGACACAGGGTTCATCTCACCCTCCTAGATAGACTCAGGGTTCATCTCTTCCCTCCTAGATAGACTCAGGGTTCATTTCACCCTCCTAGATAGACTCGGTCGCCCAATCAAGTTATAGAGATGGGTTGACTAGTCTTGGATCCCATAACTCAGTGCTAGTGATCCCATAACTCAGTGCTAGTGATCCCATAACTCAGTGCTAGTGATCCCATAACTCAGTGCTAGTGATCCCATAACTCAGTGCTAGTGATCCCATAACTCAGTGCTAGTGATCCCATAACTCAGTGCTAGTGATCCCATAACTCAGTGCTAGTGATCCCATTACCCCAACACTCCACATCGGTGTGATAAAGAGCGGGTGTTTCAAGTTGTTGTTTTATAAAAGTGTCAGTCTAAGCTCTTTACACCACAGCGTAAAGTGAACGACTGAACATGGGTGGGGTGGGGGTGCTTATGTCAAAATGAGGTAAAACATTTTACATGTCTGCTATTAACATGCCAACTGTTATTCATACGAGCGTTTTTTTCTCTGTGTAATTTCAGATTCTCCTATATGAGATGGATTGCTGCAAATGTTATTATTTAATTATCATCAACTTTCCGTCCATTGTTATGTCATCCATTAAACCTTTTGGAAATTCCTTCATTTTACAACATATGAACAGCTGTGATAACTAATTTGTTCCAGTACAAAACATGAGTTTATATTTTTACTTTTACACAAGTTTTTTAACGTATGAAAATAATAATCGAGAGATTATAATATACTTTATTTTTTTTACAACTTGAAATGTGTACATACCATTTTTAAAAAAAAACAACAACATTCCTACATTTTTTCAGTATTATAAAAATTAATAATTGAGATTAAACATGAAACAAAACAAATGGTTGTTGGCTGTTATTTTAATGTTTGAAGACCTTCAACCCAACGTTTGTGATGAGAGAACAGAACAAAACAAACAAAAGTTATACGAAGTCAATGCAATATGTCATTAGCACACGATGAAGTAGGTGTATGTGTTTTTCAATAAGGCAAAGTACCTGCTTCCATCGCTGATTGTTGCGAGAATTTTAATTACAAAAAGTTATTTCCAATGATGAGGTCTCACTCAAAAGGACCAGAGGCGTAGCGACCCTTCCCGGCGCCCGGGGCGAACTTTCAATTTGGCGCCCCCCCTCCCCCGCTTATATATATATTATATATATATATATATATATATTATATATATATATATATATATATATATATATATATATATATATATATACATGTGTGTGTGTATAATTATGTGTGTGATAGTGTGTTTATATATAAGCTTGTGTGTGGGTAAGAGTGTATTTGTGTGTGTAAGCGTGTGAGTAAGCGTGTACGCTACAGTCCGGACAAGGTTTAATAATTACATTGTATGATTTTCATTCCTTAAAACTTTACGATAATTTAATTCCCATTAAGATGCGTTTAACTTTTTTTTTACGAAAGATTAGTAATGTCAGTAAAAAAAAATAAGCCTGATCTGTGTTAGAGGGTAGTTTGTAGCTAACGCTAATATGTTTAGACCAGCCTTTAATGTTCTAGTTTGGAACGATCTCTGTTGTGATATGGTACATAGTTGGATTCGAAGTTTGTTAGAGTAAGGACACACAAGTGACATACAAGAAGAAGTTATCAGAAATATTTATAGTTCACATTGGAATACGACATGGGTATTTCGTTGATTGGTTGATGGTATGACAAACAAGCTAGAGAAAACAAACTGGAATCCAACGGATGTTAACAGCTCGTAGTCTTGGATTTCGCAGATTAGCCCTGCCTTCTCGCACACAGAGTTTCTTCCAGGCATCTCTTCGGGGGGGGGGGGGGGGGGGCGAAGCCCCCCGAAAAATTTTACCGCCCCCCCCGAACGAAATGAAATTTATATATAGAAAATATATACGTTTAACAGTGTCCGCCCCCCCCCCCCCGAAGAAAGTCTACCGCCCCCCCCCCCCCCGAAAATTTCAAGTGCCCCCCCCCCCCCCCCCGAAGAAAAAAGTCTGGAAGAAACACTGCTCGCACAACGTCCAACAACAAATGCAGAAACTAATTGTATTGATTGGAAGAAGCAGTAACAATCAATTTAATGATAGCCCATGACGTTCTGATTATAATCAGCAGCAATAAAACGCGGTTTTAATACTCTAAGAAAATGTAGAATTCAAATGCATTGTCAAAAAAATTCAATCAGGATCTATAACTAAATGTGGGTCTCTTTTACTGTATGGCTTGGAGCTAGATTACAGACAGTGGAGAATGAAATAAGAGCATGGAAAAAAGTGGTGGTTAGTGGCTTAGGGATTCAAGAATCCGTGATATTTAGTTCTCTTTAATATAGTTCAGTGATCCAGGTAAGATGTAATGCAATCAATCAAAAGTATCTGATCTCTCACGTTGAAGTTGAGAGAATCGTAAGAATCTTACAAAGAACTAGTCGCGTCTTTTTTTTAAAACAAAACTGGCTATTGAAATTGTACATTACGCGTTAATACACTTGGTTTCTTTACTAAGTGTTAAGAGAGTTATCTGCTCACCAATCCAGTACAAATACTTGCGATTTTTTTAGCGAAAAAAGCGCCCCCTACCCCACCCACACACTCATCACAACCATCTTGGACAAAGTTTGTAGAGCGGTTTTTAACGTAACAAACTTTTTTTTAAAAATGTTACACAATTATACAATGCACAGTACAATTCGTTTTTTTCTGAGAGCTAAAGGTTGTTTTCTCAGAATCCTGTGTAATTTTGCTATTTTATTTAGCCTAAAAGCGCCCCCCCTGCACCATCTTGATAAAAGTCACTAACGTATTTTACAGTTCAACAATCGTACAATACGTTTCAATACAATTGGTTTCTTTTAATAGTGGTAACGTTTATCGACTCAACAATCTAGTGTAAATTCTTCCGTTTTAAGTCTCGAAAAAGCGCCCCCCCCCCCCATCTAGGTAAAGCTTCAAAGCGGTTTTGCCGGTCACTGTTTCTTAAGAGTATATGTTTTACATTAAGAAATCAAGGTAGAAAACAGTTAAATCAGTTTGTAAAGGCGTGTAGCCATTACATTTCTTAACTTAGACAGTTTATAATTCAAAACTGCAGCATAAAATCAGCTTTAAAAAATTTTTCCCACCCCTTTTGGCGCCCCCAAAGGGTCGGCGCCCGGGGCGGCCGCCCCCCCCCCCCCCCCCCGCCCCCCCTAGCTACGCCTCTGAAAAGGACGCATGTCCAGGGGCACTGCTAGTTAGTCAATGACTAGATCGTGCTCCAATAGCTCGTGAATGAACTAACTGTTCTCCAAAACTGTCAAACATAGGCTCGTAACCTAGCTGGCTTTGCAAAAAAAAAAAAAAGGTTTCGGATGACAAGTAAATAAGACAAATTTGATACTAAAATATAATAGGGAGGTTACACCAAAAATAACGAACTGCCTGTAGATTGGGAATTACCATGGTATGTTGATTAGGTAGTGTAGGTTTGTTTTGTTAGCCACTATCAGATGATTATTACTTAGATGGATCTTTTCAGATAGTGATGCACTACGTCACTTATAAATGAAATGTTTTCATGTAAATCTATATAAGCAAGTCAGTTAAATTATGATCAACCTGCAAGATCAAACGGTCTAAACTGTAGATGAAGTAGAGTTCTTCTGTTTCTGTGATCTCGGCAAGTGGGATGATAGTGGGGTCGGTTCTGCTTTCGTTTCCCCCACCCCGGGTAGACTCAGGGAGATACTACATACTTGAGTCCGGGATCTGAACTCGAGACTTTCGAGTTAGGAGCTGTGTGCTCTATCTTTCTACCTCACTATCTGTGGTAGTACTGCACTAAAAATTATGACGTCATTTATTCACGATGTGTAGAACTCTTCACTCACGAGTTGATTTGTTTACATGTGCCAGAGAGGCCATTACAGCCCACTTGGATGGGTGCATACATATTGAACGTTCTGCGGTCCTCTTTCGTGATGGAATTGATTCGTTCCTTTGTTTAGAAGTTTAGTTTGAACTTTTTTCCAATACCCTCCCTCCCACAGGCCCCTTGGGTAAATAACAAACTGACTATTCTATGCAATTTTTTTTGCACTATGATGCTGGGGGCTATTAGTCGAACGAAATGTTTTACTAACTTCAGGTATCAAAATCAACATTGTTAGGGCACGTTCTGCTCTGTTGGCTGTGCTGCATAGGCAGTTGCCCTTTAGTGACGTCACGTTTTTTGTCGATTTTTATCATCCATGTACGTCGTTTATTGACAAAACCATAACAACACGAAACAGTACATTGTAGTGTAGGGTCTACACGTGTATTATAAAAGATCTGAAGAGCTGCTTCGACACTTCAACAACAAATGATATAGGCCTACCCTATGCGAACGGCACGAGAACCACTGACATAAATTATTTGACTTAGAACTTGTCAAGTACATCAGCACCAGGTACTTCGCTTCATGAAAGTGCTGCATCAGGAAAAAAACAAACTTAGACCTTATTTAAAAACTAAACATTAGTGTGGTACTGTGCCATATTAGGCCTATGTTTTTACTTTGTGTTTTTTTTAAATGTTTTTTTTTTTAGAAACTACTGCGCAACGACCGTTCGTTTTATCAAATTACCTCCGTACTTTATGAAACTAATTTTAAACTTACTAGTTTATTTACCCAATTTCAAGCGCATGCATGTTTTTATTTTTAGAAGTTGGTCACAATTAATTTTAAAAATAAACAAAGTGAACTAGCATATGTATAAAAATCTGGCATAACACCAGTTGCTACGGCTGTCAACCATTGTTTACATTATCGCTTAGCGACGCGATCTTCGTTATGATGATCACACTGGAATAAAACACATTGTGTACTGTGTATGTCGTACACCATGATACGTGGTTACTGGGGGTAGGGGTGGCTCGGTGATTAACACACAATGGAAACGTGTAGACTGTAGAATGACTCCTTTGTTCCTTGACTTGCTCGACCGTGTAGTTGGTTGATTAGAATAGAATAACAGACGTCATGTTGAAAATGTAGTCAAAACTTCGGGCCAATCGTGGTGTGTGTGGTGGTGGTGGGGGGGGGGAGGTGTCCAGCATATTTTAATAGAAAAGTAGATAAGATTTTTTTTTAAAGGCTGCAGTTGAAAATGTGCAGTATTTGTATTTCTAAGGGGTAACATAATAACATTATTATAGGCTAATACTAATAATAGGGGTCGTTCGTGAACGCTACACCACTAGATCTACTACTACACTGGCAGAGGAAGGTGTTTCATACTTTTGTGACGATGTGTGACAAGGGGATGGATTTACAAAACGTGACGTTACACTATGACAGTTCTTTCGCATTTTGAAAGACAAAATAATCTAGACATTGTTAAGTTAATATTTTAGGAATAAAATTTAGGAAAGGGTAGGAAGAAGTGAGTCATCATCTTAGGAGGGAAGGAGGGTCTGACTTTTTATGGTGATGTGTGACGACTGGGGACGGAAAGGGGGGGGGGGGTAACCTAAGTACGTGTGACGTGGTTTATGGATGATCCCTTCATGTCTATATGATTTTCCACCCCAATCTCTCTTATTGTATTTATACATACAGACCAACATGATATACATATATAATAGATCCTACATTATAATGCCTACATATTACAAAACACAGTATGCTTATATACTGGGACATATACTTGCAATTTGTGTGTACACAACACTGAGATAACACGGATAGCTTGGGGCAATGATTACATTTAAACACCGTTAACGCATTTAAAAAAGTGTATGCCCTAAACAAGCAAACATTTCCACATTAACCTGCCAACATCTGCCTCAAAGCCCCCGCCCACTTTTCCAACACACACACGAGCACACACACACACACACACACACACACGAGCACTCACGCAATCACATTCAAACAGTAGCAACTGTCTCTTCCTTTGACATTATGATGGTCTCGTAATTTTAAGAACTGAGTAAGTTTTCCCAACTCCTGCTAGGTATTTATAAAATGCTGGGTTAGACAAAAACACTACAACAGCAGTGAATAGCTATAAAAAAGAATTTAAAAAAAAACCTGTTCGAGTGTATTGGAAACTCTAGTCGCTATGGTGCAGAGGCGTAGGGGGGGGGGTTCATAAGTCCCCGGGCGCCAACTTTAGGGGGCGCCAAAATGGGTTGGAAAAACAAATTAAAATCTCATTTTAGCTGCAGTTTTTCATTATAAATATAAAAAAATATATGGGTGGGAGTGCAAATTGAAATTTGGGGGGGGGGGGGGGCTGCAAATCGAAAGTTTGAGGGGGGGGGGGGGGGTGTGCAAATCAAAAGTTTGAGGGGGGGGTGCAAATTGAGAATTGAAAGGTTTCTCCCGAGGGGGGCGCCAAATTGAAAGTTTTTTCCAGGGGCGCCGGGAAGGGTCGCTACGCCTCTGCTATGGTGGGACCTGGTGGGTGTATCTTTAAAATAAAGTTAAAGGTGTAGAGCTGTGTACACAAATAACCGTTACATTCACGTTTGAGGTGCGGGGCTGTGTTGACAGTTAACCATAAACAAGTCAGAGTTGGTTTTTTCATTTTTAATTTCTCGTATACAGAGTATAGAGGAAGTATTGTAATCATGCTGAGTATATAACAGATACTTTGACCGTTTTCGCCGTTTTACACCTCCTTATCATACGGAATATAAGGGATAGGTCTATATTTTACTCGTGCAAAAATCTAAATCAAGATGTTGACAAATTTAGATGTTTTACAACCTTTCTGAGCTGGGAAAACTTAGTCATTTTTTTGTGCAAGATTAATTAAAAAAAAAAAAACATTTTCTCTAGCCAGATTGCGCTACAAGTGACATCCCCTTTACTGTGACATAAGTATTTACGAGAAATATCACAACCGTTTTATTAAATTTTTAGAGAAAACACATTTTTTTTTCTTTTTAAAAAGCTAATCTAAATTTTGCTACGGATCGGACGTCTGAGATTTATCGTTGGTTCGTGATCGACAGCTGACTTCATTACAGCACAAGATTACGTCAGGTGCCACAATCAATTGGTTGATAACAGTCACGTGGTGAGGACGATATTTCATGTTCACGCGAGAGGTGTTAGGTAATGTATCCGCGTGATTTATTAATCATTGAGTGGTGAAACAAACAAGAGTAGGGCATTAATCGTGAGGTGGATATTGGGGTAGTGTAGGGGGGAGGGTAGTGGTTAAGTGGATGTTGGGTGGTGTAGGTGGGGAGAGAAGTGGATGTTGGGTGGTGTTGGGGTGGGGAGGGAAGTGGATGTTGGGAGTGAGGAGGGAAGTGGATGTTGAGGGTGGTGTAGGTGGGGAGGGAAGTGGTGTTGGGGTAGTGTAGGGGGGAGGGTAGTGGATGTTGGGTGGTGTTGGGGCGGTGTAGGTGGGGAGGGAAGTGGATGTTGGGGATAGGGAGGGAAGTGGATGTTGAGGGTGGTGTAGGTGGGGAGGGAAGTGGATTTCGATGTGGTGTAGTTGGGGAGGAGAGGCAGTAGTGTCATGTGGTGGTGGTGGGGGGGGGGGGATGTGGATCGCACCGTGTTGCACCGTCCAAGGTTTGTCAACAAAATAAAATAGAGCTAAACTTTTTCTATCTTAAAACTTCATATACATAGTTATTGACAGAATAGGGGGGGGGGGGTGACACCTGGGTTACCACATCGAGCGTCATTCGACCTGGTGAAGCCACGGTAGAGAGGTAATGTAAAGTGCTGATGTATGTTGATTGTGTGTGATCAGTTATAACGGGCGGGCTTGGAGGGGGGGGGGAGGGGGGGGGGGGAGACAACCCTTATTTAGTTTTCACCAAATGAGAGAATAACAAGGCTATATAAAGTATTGGTTTGCGTCACTCCGTTAATTTTTTTTCCTTACTCCATGAAACCGTCAACTTGAGAAATCTCAGTATCGTATTGCAACGTTTTTATCCCATGTTGGCTTACTACACTTCGGCTTCTTTCGAAGGGAGGGTTTCAGCATAGAATACATCTGAATTATGCCTTTGTTTACTTTACGTTACAAGGCTTGCAAAGCTAGACAACGATCATAAAAATACAAAAACAGTCGGAAAAATGGGGTATACAATTCAAATGAACATTTCTCCCAATCTATTGTAGACCTACTTAAAAACTGACGTATATTACAGCTTATTTTCCCGTTCTCTCGCCCCACCCTTGTTATTGATTGGGCATAGGCTTTTCTCATAAAGCAGAGGCGTAGCGAGGGGGGGGGGGGGCGGGGGGGGGGGGCGACATATGTCCCCGGGCGCCGACCTTAGGGGGGGCGCCAAATTGAAAGTTTGAGGGGGGGGGGTGCAAATGAAAAGTTCGAGGGGGGGGGGGGGTGTGCAAATCGAAAGTTTGAGGGGGGGGGGGGGGTGCAAATGAAAAGTTCGAGGGGGGGGGGGTGCAAATCGAAAGTTTGAGGGGGGGTGCAAATGAAAAGGGGAAGGGTCGCTACGCCTCTGTCATAAAGTCGTTCAGTAAAAAAGTAAATTGTAATTTAAAGACTACCGTTGATAAGCTCAATGGCTTCTGATTAAAACAAGTTAATATAAAATTCTAGTGACAATTTAAGCGCAATTTCCTTATGTTATCCATAACAATTTTTAATTTTTTTGTGACCGAACGAAAGGATATTTTTTTGCGCTAAAAAAGACAACTATATTAACCTACATCAACGGAAATAGTTTTATTTTAACGAGTAGGCCTACACGATGCTCAGTTTAAAAAAGAAATATCATCCTAGGCCTACGCGATGCTCTGTTTAAATGTTCTTAATTAATTTGTTGTGACCGAACGAAAGGATATTTTTGAAAACTTTCTTCGGCAATATTGTTCTAAATTATGACAGGAATCGATTGGTAAATGTTTCAAGTCGCTAAGTGGTCTGGTTGCCGAGATATGGGTCAAAAACTGCATTTTTTTCGAGGTTTTTTGGCTTTTCCGGGAAATCCAGGAAGGAATTCGGGGAATTTTTTTAGCCCACAATCATCCTCTGAACTTGCTTAACATATTTGCTTTTGGAACTAGTCCTCGATATTGCTTCGTTGAGGAGGAGATACGACTTAAAGCTGCGGACATACATCCATTCATTCATCCATCCAGAAATGACGAGTTAATAATTGCAATTGTCGAGTATGGAAATTCCGCTAAAAAATGTAGCAAATGATTTAGACCAACCCCCGGCCTCCCACCTTACATGGAATATTTGTTTTGTTTTATTTTATTCCAAATTTAGTTATAGTTTTTACTTTCTTCGTTTTCTCATTTTCGTCCTACTATTTTCTTTTCTAAAAGAAGAGAGCGTTTCATGTTTACAAAAATGGCTGCAAAGTTGAAAAAACGAGCCCTTGCGGAGTTTAGTTATGTTGTAACGGTAATAGATTACTGTCGATGCTACTTTCATTAATTATTAGTCACCCAACTTCTAGTTTAATCCATCTTAATTATTTAATTTGGTAATTTAACTTTTAAATAAAGCCCCTTGTGTTCTGAGGCGTCTAGTAAAAAAAGTAACTTAACTAGATCTAGATCTAGAGGAGGGTAATCTATCGTTTTAGCGTAATCAATTCGGCTGCAATAGTAATGTGCGGGAGAGGTAGCTGATGAATATATTTGTTTAAATAAGTTTATTTAAGTCAAATTTTACAAAATATCACAGATAATTGATTTAAAATAACAAACAGTGACCAAAACAATTTAAATAACATGAAACTAACTTTAAACTAGGTGTTTGAGATAAATATTAGTAGAAAAAAAACAGCGGCCATCTTTCCAAATAAAATTTAGAGTAGTTTCCCTGGATAAAAATGTCTATTCGTATGTATATTGTGTTGACTTTGTTGTTTAATATACATACCTGTCTTGTTTAATATAAGTAAGTCAGAGGGCCGTCTTCTTATCTTTAATTTCATTTTCAAGTGAAATGAAGGCTATGTATGTATGTACATTCCAAGATCTCAAAAAATTTTGGGAGGTCCAACATTTACTAAACCCTTTTGTACTGATTAGGGGTCGTCCATAAATGACGTCACAATCGTAGGGGGGAGGGGGGGGGGGGGGTCGGTAATTTTGTGACGATGTGTGATGACGGGGAGGGGGGGGGGGTTCAGATGGTGCTACGTCACACTTTTGCTTTATAGATAAGAAAAGTTAGAAAACGAATTTTAGACATTATTTAGCTTTTTAAAAAAACAGTTTTAATAAATTATAATAGGAATTGATTAAAATACTATATTTTGACATATTTCAGACAAGATTTTGGAAAAATATCAATGTTTAAAAAAAAAATCAACTGCAATTTTGAGGGGGGTGGGGGGGTGTAGGCTGATGTGTGACGTCATTTTAGGGGGGGGGGGGGTCTGGCTTTTTGTGACGACGTGTGACGGAGGGGAGGGGGGAGGTAAAAATCATATTAAAAAAGCGTGACGTCATTTATGGATGACCCCTTAACTTGTCAATTATTAGGTCGTCCATATTCCTCATAAATGACGTTGGACTCAAAATATGGGACGGTGTAAAAAATTTTTTTTCAAAAATGATGAAGAATATATTCGTTTTCGTTAGAAATTGTGATTAAGGGTTCGGGTATAGTAGAACTGCGATATGATATTAAATCATCATCTTGCTTTTAGTAACTATTGGGTGAGAGGGAAATTGTCGGGAAAAGTATGATGTCATTTATGGGCGATCCATTTAATTAAGCCTAGTTGTTTATTGTGTCTGTAGACATTAGTCTTAGGCCTACACTTTTTCTGAATTAAGATTACTGTGTTTTTTAAAATAGGTTCAAATTTTAATTAGTTACATTTGAATACCACATGGGTTTTTTTTTCTTTGCCTTCTGCTGTCATCAGTTTTTGATTTCTTCAGTAGTCAATGTTTACCCCTCCCCACCATCCATTATTACCAAAAAAAAAAAACACCCACTATATGTGTCATAGCGTAGATATATAGAAATAGACTAGACGAGTAGAGGTTACTAAGGACGGTACGAACTTGACGGTAGACGATTTGGTGCGAGAGTATTGTGCGCGTGTTCAATAAAATATGTGTGGCGTGAGTGTGACGTGAGCATGGTGCGACAATGTACCGATGACGTAAGACGCAGCAGTGAAGTTAGTTGGGGGTTAGATATAGTAGAAGACTGACGTATTATTTGATATTGTGAAAATGATCTATAAGTGTGTGTTAATTAAGTTCATGTTATTTCATAAACTAAGTTGTTGACATTGTTAATTAGTGTCTGCGGAACATAAGAGTGATTCCCGTCCTCCTCACGAGTATAATAGTTGCCGTATGAATAGTAGTAGATCAGAATATATTGAGATTATATATAAATCGCCCATCACAATATAGTGATATCCCACTCTAGAAAAAAAAAAAAACTAGATCAACGTATAGTTCGTAGGAAAATTAGAATCTATCACTTATTCGTCTGTTAAAAAAAAAAAGAAATACGTCATTTTTCTCAACCACGCCGTTTCATCCCCCACTAAGCACAACGTCACAAAGTTCGCGGCGCGCGTGACGTCATTTGTCATTAGGCTAATGTTTAAGAAAGATACCGCGTAATTAAAAGAAAATCAAAACAGGCCCTAAATCACTATGGCGATGAGACTTTAACGACGTTTAGCCTGACGAATAGATCTAAATAACCTTAGTTCGGTGAATTATATTGGTGTTTAATTTATTACAGTGGCATGATATTCTCCCTCTACTATACAAATTCACGTGCTTTTAATTTCTGCAACCTGCTGCCCTGAGACGTTCGGCTCTAAAATGCCCGCGACACAGCGGCTTCGGTAAATGCATTTAGGTTCCCGGTCCCACCTATAAACGTCTGTCCATTAAGCTCCACGCAAAACGTGTGATTAATATATGGACATAAGCTAGTGGTGGTGTCAACAGGGGCCAAGCTCAGGTCTTAAAGGTGCTCCGCACTTCATAAAAGACAAAATTGATGTTCAGATATCGTCGGACTCAGGCGTTTTGCCGACGGCCGTACTCCTAATGCACAGTCTTAGAGGCTGTCCACTGCTAACACTATTTTATGTTAAATTCAAGCCTATACTGAGCTGTGGCTTTACATTAGCTCAGTGGCGTAGCGAGGTCGAGTGTCACCCGGTGCGGCACTTAATGGTGTCACCCCCCAGAGGCGACAAACTTTCAATTTTCGATTTGTCCCATTTTACCTGCTAGTCAATAATTGTCGAATATTGTTGACAGGAGCTACTTGGTTTGAGCCTTGTTGTCAGAAGTTATTTCATTTGGAGTCAATATAGTGCGGCCTATTTTCGTCGGTAGGCATTTAGTGGCAGGCCCTTTTTGGCGGGGATGATGTGCTGAGGTTGTTTAACACCGCTTAGTACAACAGGCATGCAATAGTTATGAACAAATGTATGCATGAAAACGAACGCTTTATGTTCCTCATTTTCACTGAGCACAGCTTTATAGAAGATTCCAAAATAGACGTCACGCATCCCCCCCCCCCCGACCACCCTGCGTAAGTTGCAGGGGCGGAACTACAGTGCCGCCAGACCCCGCAATGCGGGGGGGCCCACGACGTTTAGGGGCCCAATTCCGACCAAAAAAACAATGAATTTTCTTTTCATAAATAATGTTTTTCGTGCACCTTGATAGTGGTTTTGTAAAAAACAAACAGGTCTACTATAGCAGTGATTGTTCTACAGTAACTAACACACACTGTTGCGTAGAAAAATATAAAATCTACAAGAGCTCTGCTTTGAAAGATAGGCAAACGTTCATACTACTTCCATGACTTACTGCCCTTCATTAAAACACAAGTGCCCATAAACCTCATTTAAATAGTTTTGTACTATGTAAATTAAAGAGCCATTTATTCTCTTATTTATTATTTAAATGAGGCATACTAAAGAATTCTATAGCTATAAAAATTAATGTATTCAAAACTAATAATATAAATACAAAAAATCATAAAAATAAACATAACGCGAGAAACCATTGCAAAATCAAGCTTACGTGTTTATATAATTTTGACCAGCCAACACTATTGTGGCAATTTTCGGTAACCATAAAACGTAATACAAACATTTGTTAAACACGATTATTACGGGCCCGAAATGAGTTCGGACTTATTGTTGACTTTGATGTCTGGTTCGTTATCTCAGAGTGGTTATACATTGCTATAAAATTGATTAAAATACTCAGGTAATAGACTATTTAAAATTTAGAGGAGCGGGCTACTTATATATATGTATGTATGTATGTATATATATGTATGTATATATATATATATATATATATATATATATATATATATAGGGCCTATATATATATATATATATATATATATATATATATATATATATATATACATATATATATATATACATATAGGGGGGGGGGGGGCCAAAAAATTTTTTTGCGGGGGAGCCTTTTTTTTCTAGTTCCGCCACTGGTAAGTTGACGTCACATTAGCATTGCATATGTGACATCGTTTATGGGCAACCCCAAAAAACTCATTTTGGGTATTTGGTATCAACATTTTGACAACAAAGGTTATTCAAAATGTATATAGGACTTGACATCTACCCTAAATGACATCGCACACTTAAGGGGTGGAGTAACTGGTTTTGAGACGACGTTTTACGCGGGAAGAGGGAGGGGTAAGAAACGTGAAACGTTATGTATTTCGCCTAATACAAAAATGCTAAAAATATTTTTCATTAGAATTATGGCTTGACTTTTTAATAGACAGGACAAAAAGGTAATTTTCAACATTACGACTATTTCGTGACGGCGAAAATGGGGGGGGGGGGGGGGTTAAGGTGAAGAGAGGTCAAAAACGGGACGTCATTTGTGATTAAATCACTAATTAAAGGAAAAAAGCATGAAAATATTAAATGAAAATAGGAAACAAACAATAACACAAACAATAAGAATGAACTCAAACTAATATTTAAATAAACATTAGATATGTAGTGGTAGCTCTATAAAAATAGGGAGTATCTTAATGTATAAAAATTGCATCTCATAATAATAATTATAGAACTGATGTTTATTGTCAGTCAATTAAATTGTTTAAAGGGCAGAATTTAAAAAAAAAACGCATGCTTTGTATTTAAACACAAGACTAACCTATTTAACAGCAAACATCAATACATTTCCATACAAATAGAAATTAAAGGGAAATGACTCAAAATAATATTTTCTTAAGATGGCCGCTGTTTTTAATAGCAAATTTAGTATCTGTAACATCGTTGTTAAACTTTAATTTCCTGACATTTTTATTGATTTAAACCTTAAATGTGGTTTAATATTCAATTATCTTTAGTTATTTAGTAAAATATGCAAAAATATATCCATATTTAAGCCATATTTATTAGTTACCTTATCCCTACATTACTAGTGACGGCCGAATTGATTACGCTAAAGCGATAGATTACCCTAGAGGAGCTTACACTTTTCGGACACACATAGCGAAAAAACGCAACGTAAAAATTCCATGCGGTCTCATTCAGTAACCGCTTAACATAGAAAACAAAAAAAAGTATCATATCTATCCGCAACCATTCTACTTTAATAATGTGTGTGTCATTTTGTATTCATACGCATAGAACTTAAGCTATTCTTGTTATAGTGACTGGGGGGTCTTAACGTGTGTTCGAACACATGTAATACAGTTTTACATGTGTTCGGACACCTTTACCCGTCATCGGACATAGCACTTTTTGTTCATTTAGAATAATTTAAAGTCAATTTAATGAATAAAAACATATATTATATGCATTTATATTGTGTTATTGATTGTTTGTGAGGTAATTTTAATAGTATAAAACCTTTTTCCCACACTCCCAAAGTTCATCCCATTCAGCCATTGCGGCTCGCGCAGTACGCTGCTAAGCCAGCCAGGTCACATGATTCCCCCTCCTCTTTCGCATTCCACTGCCTTCTTGACCTTATTTTGACCCTTTCCCTTCAATAACCAGCCCCTTTTATGCTCTAAATTCTTATTTAATAATATTTTTGTGTTGCTGTCCGGTCCCATGTAAGGCCAAATAAGTTAGCGAACACCCCTTTTTTATTGTTCAAGCACAAAAAAACCCATTAACCTTGACATTTACGATGTTCCATACATATATAGAAGCTATTTATAGTGTAACCTTTTAGCTAAGCATTGATTGGTTCAAGTTTTGCCCCTAAGTCCAACCCTAGGTCACTTCATCCGGCTGGTGTAAAAATAGAAATGTGCGTACCATGCAACGTTAAAAAATTTCTAAAAATAATTCTTGAGAAAGGAAACGGAAGTACTTGACACGGAAGTGTTCATAAATGAACAGTTTACGTGCAGGCGCCGTGGTTTCGCGTGAGACATGCTAATTAAAGTTTCTATGAGCCAAAAACCGACGAAGTGTTCGCTCCTACGTAATTTTTGGTGTGTGTCCGAAAAGTGTAAACTCCTCTAGATCTACTTTCATTTCAGTGAAACAGAAAAGTGAGAACTTATAATATAATAAACATTTCAGTGAAAAGTCAGGACTAAAGAAAAAGTGCTAGATCTAGATCTACTAGAAATCTAGATCTAGATCTTTCTCATTAAATTGGAGATTAAAGTATGCCCTAATTTGACCTACTCCATTGCAAAGTATATCGATCTCCATTATTTGACAACACACCACAAATGTCAAAGCCTAATATTGCCTAATAATTTTGAGACTGAAATAATAAAAATTAAAATAATTCATATAAAAACTTTTCACGGTGATGATTATCAAGAAAAAGTGTTTATTTTTATATACAAAGTTGAGATGCCAACCACTTAAAATTGCACTCAATTTCCACATAAATTGCATTTATTACTTTTGGACTTAAATTGCTCAATTTTTTTTTTGTGGTACAGAAAGGCTGATGAATCATATATTAATAGTCTCACATTGAAACCATGATGAGATTGAGAGAGATAAGCAGTGTGTTTTCATTTGTCATAGATCTAGATATGATTCTAAAAAATAAAAAAAATAACTGGAGCGCGATGTTAAAGGATTTCAATAGCACCTCCGTATTTGCAGCCAGAAGACAGACTGAATTTACTTATACTTACTACCTAGAACTACTTCTACTCCCTACTACTTAATTAGTACTATTACTAATTAGTTATAAATTAATTAACTACACTACTACTTACTGACTACACTAGATCTAGAATTATTCTAGGCCTTCCAAAAAACACTGAAAAAAGTGAATAGTCATATTTTGTAATTTAATGAAAGTGAAAGACCCTGATTTTGAAAAAAACTATTTTAGTCTTGTTAGCCTACATTTTAATACTTTTAAAATTTTTAATGTAATTATTCCTTAGCTTAAAATAAGTTAAAATACTATTTAATACTAAATCCATTTTTATGAATAAAAACTCAAAATAAATTGAATCACCATGAGCATTAATTTAGATCAGCTTAGGCTTGCACTTTCATTTTGTATTTTTCTAATTTATTATTTTGTAATTATTGCAGGAAGAACCACCCCAACCTGTAAAAAGGTTAAGACTTATTCAGCGCTCCGTTGCACCCACCATCTCACTGAACTTGTCAAGTGCAAGCTCACCCCAGGAAGTTATTTTTATTCTTCTTAAGCTAGAAGAAAACTCACCGTCAGAGAAGGAAGGGGCAGAGTCGGTTTACAATGAACTCTCTGAGCACTTGGTTGGAGAACGTGATGCTATAGTTAGGTGCAAGATTATTTCAATGTTTGCCAAGCTTGCTCTGGTCCCTGGCTTCAACATACAACTCCTGGCTGATGATTTACTCAACAAAATAGGCTCAGAAAGTTTGTTTCTTTTGTTTTTTAAATCCGGTTTTTCATAAATACAATTTTCTTTTAAAATAACAAGGTGTTTGAGTCAATTTACCATAAGATAACTTTTGAATAAATAAACTGTTTTTCTTATCCTGGCAAAAACAAGTACCTGAAACTTGAAATAATCAGTTAGCTTGTTTGTTTAAATAAGTTTAGCTTGTTAATTGCAATTAAATTTCCTGAGATCAAGTTGATGTAAAAAACATGCAGTTTTAGTTATTTTCATTCTAGGCTCACATAAAGTGCTTGGTCAGCTGTTTGTCACTGCCAGGTCTGTCAGTCAGATGTTCTCTCCCAGCAGCCATAATATTCAACGCTTTATGAGGGCGGCATTTAAGGTAAAATCCTGCTCAGTTAACCTCCCAATCACACACTTACCATTACATTGCTTTTAGCAAACCTTTTACAATTTATGTTCAAATATTAAAAATAGAAGGTAAAAGCGGCTATGTCTATCTGAATGACATTGTGAATTTGCTAAATTTTATTTGATGTAAATAATTCTTAAAATATTTTTTTACCAACAGGCATTCTTCAGACTCTAATTATTACACCCTGTTTGTATTTTAGCATGTTTCTAACAGCGATCATCAAGTGCGCAGAAGCTGTTTGCAGCTGATTGGCTGCCTGGCATCGTGTGAACAACAGCGGAAAGATACACCAGCATCTCCTGACTGGCCTGTGTCCATCCAAGAAGTTTTGACCAGATACATCAGCGATGAGGACCCTAGGGTCAGATGCAGTGCTTTTGAGGCAATGGTAGGGTTAGGGTTTACATCTTCCTAGTTATTTGCTTTACTTTAGATTGTGTTTTTAAACTGTCAATGACTTTGTTGTTTTAAAACTTCACAGCTGACACTACACAACAGTGGTCAATATTTAGGGCTATCTGTTTACCAACAAGCCTGCTCCGCCCTGCAGGATGACTACGAGGGCGTGAGATTAGCAGCCGTCCAACTGATCTGGGTCCTCAGTCACCTGTACCCAGAAAGGTCTTTATTTGATTTCTTTTTTTAACGTCAGACAAACTTTTAACTATTAACAGGCCACTTGATTTATCAAAAAAATTGTTTTCATTAAGAGAAATGTTAGTTTCAAAATTTTCTTCCAGTTTTGTGCCTGTGACAGATTCAGCTGAAGAGCTCAGACTACTGGATGATGGGTTTGCTAAGATTTGTAGCATGGTGACAGACATTTCAGTCAAAGTCAGGGTCAAGGCCTTGCAGCTATTGGTGGGTACAATGTTGTGTTGTGGGCACATTTGTGTTGTGTTGTGGGCACATTTGTTTTGTGGGCACATTTGTGTTGTGTTGTGGGCACATTTGTTTTGTGGGCACATTTGTGCTGTGTTGTGGGCGCCTTTGTGTTGTGTTGTGGGCACCTTTGTGCTGTGTTGTGGGCACATTTGTTTTGTGGGCACATTTGTGTTGTGTTGTGGGCACCTTTGTGTTGTTGGAACATTGGTGTTGTGGGCACATTTGTGCTGTGTTGTGAGCACATTTGTGTTGTGGGCACATTTGTGCTGTGTTGTGATAACATGTGCACTGTGGGTACATTTATGTACAGTTTAAAATTCAGACAAACTAGTTTTGTTTTTGTGTGAACTCCAGTGCAAAATGAAAACATTGCTGACATCCGAGATTTGTTACTCCCCACTTAAAGTTTTATCGTGTTGCTAATCTTGTCTTCTCTCCAGGGGTCCCTTCATCTAGTGAGCCCCAAATTCCTGGAGCAGACGCTAGACAAGAAGATCATGTCACAGTTGCGGGTAAGTTTGATCACATGACCTCTCACTTTCATGTACATGTGTTCTAGGGGTTTTATAAACACAGCTGTCATCCTGTATGGGTTGCTCAGTAGCAATCTGCCTTTATTCATCAAACTGCAAGACTTATTTCAACTGTGTGGGCTGCTTGAAGTTGAAAGTGGACACACTGGCCAAAACATAAGGGCTAGGTTTGAGGCTTAATTCAGTTTCAACTTTGTAGAGTGTCTTGTAATGGAACAACCAATCCTAGACTTTGTAGAGTGTCTTGTAATGGAACAACCAATCCTAGACTTTGTAGAGTGTCTTGTAATGGAACAACCAATCCTAGACTTTGTAGAGTGTCTTGTAATGGAACAACCAATCCTATTTAAATCAGATCCATTTATTTGAAAGAAGCCTAGGTCAAATGGGGGGACTGCATGCTTTAGCAGTAGAGCGCTAGACTGCTAACCTGAAAATCTCGAGTTCACACAGTTCACGTTAAGGAAAGTAAAGGCGGCCTGGCATAGTGTCAAGGTCACACAAATGGGTGAACTCTACTTCACTAGCCCCATGGACCACCAGGTTCTAAAAGGAACTTTAGATGAAATGAAGATAAGTTTTAAAAAAGGAAGAGAAGCAGAACTCGCATGAAAAAGAATAGAAGTACATAAACCCTTTCTGTTTTATACAGGCTTTATTTTTATAACATAAAATAGTTGATTGTATCTTAAAATCAATGTAATGAAATAACCTTTGTTCAGCGTAAAAGGTCTGCCCATGAGAGGGCCAGAGAACACTTTGCCTCGGGTGAGTGGTCAACTGGTCAAAAGTGGGCAGACGACGCACCCAAGGAAGACGTGGACCCTGACTCTGTCAATCTACTCAGTATAGGCGCCTGTGGGGCTTTTGTTCATGGGCTGGAGGATGAATTTTTAGGTAAAGAGTTTACTTTAATGAAGGTCTTACATTTCATTAATTGTCTTATGCATAAATTATATTTTAATAAGGGTTTTACATTTCATTCATTGTCTTATGCCTAAATTATATTTTAATAAGGGTTTTACATTTTATTAATTTTTTATGCCTAAATTATATTTGAATGCAGGTTTTACTGTTTATAAATTGTGATTGTAAATTAAATACATTTTTGTATCTTAAGGAACATAACAATGGTTATTTTGTTTTTGTCTTGCTTTAATTAATACTGCATTTATTTCTTTTCAAATCAGAGGTTAGAAATGCTGCCCTTGATTCACTCTGTGAGCTGGCCTCCAATTCTCCAGAGTTCTCTGCCCTTTCTCAAGACAGCATCATAGACATGTTTAACGATGAGATTGAGAGTGTCCGGCTCAACGCCATCAACAGTTTACGTAAAATCAGCCACCACCTACTGCTGAGGGAGGATCAGGTGGAAATAATTTTGGGGGTGTTACAGGTAAATCAGGCTGCTCTAAGAAATGTCATGTGAACCCAAGTCTAGAATCCTATTTAAGACTCTGTGAAGGCAATGTGGTTATGTTGAATTGAACTTGAAAACTGTTTGATTTATCTGGCAGGATTTCTCCCCAACCAGTCGTGAAGCTTTGAGGAACTTGCTGGGCCACATCAGGCTTGCCACAAAGAACTGTGTCAACATGTGTGTTATGGCGCTGCTAGACAACCTGCAGAGGTACCCACAAGACAGGGTTTCTGTATGGAGGTAGGTCATGGGGGTTTTGTGTAGGGTAGGTCATGGGGTTTTTGTGTGTAGATAGGTCATGGGGTTTGTGTGTGGAGGTAGGTCATGGGGTTTCTGTATGGAGGTAGGTCATGGGGGTTTTGTGTAGGGTAGGTCATGGGGTTTCTTTCTGGAGGTAGGTCATGGGGTTTGTGTGTGGAGGTAGGTCATGGGGTTTTGTGTAGGGTAGGTCATGGGGTTTCTTTCTGGAGGTAGGTCATGGGGTTTCTGTGTGGAGGTAGGTTGTGGGGTTTTTGTGTGGAGGTAGGTCATGGGGTTTTGTGTAGGGTAGGTCATGGGGTTTCTTTCTGGAGGTAGGTCATGGGGTTTGTGTGTGGAGGTAGGTCATGGGGTTTTGTGTAGGGTAGGTCATGGGGTTTCTTTCTGGAGGTAGGTCATGGGGTTTCTGTGTGGAGGTAGGTTGTGGGGTTTTTGTGTGGAGGTAGGTTGTAGGGTTCTGTGTGTAGATAGGTCATGGGGTTTGTGTGTGGAGGTAGGTCATAGGGTTCTGTGTGGAGGTAGGTTGTAGGGTTCTGTGTGGAGGTAGGTTGTAGGGTACTGTGTGGTGGAAGGTTGTGGGGTTTATGTGTGGCAGTACTCATGGGGTTTGTGCGTGGAGGCAGGTCATGGGATTTGTTTGTAGTTAGGTCATGGGATTTGTGTGTAGCAAGGTCATAGGCGTTGTGTGTGTTGAGTTTCTGTGTGTAAGGAAGTTCTATATCTTTCAACCCTCACTTGCCACACCATTGTTACCTCACCTGTACTGTGATGTTTACAATTTTTGTCCAGGTGTTCCCAGCAGCTTGGCACCAAACATCCCGCCCACACCTTGGCTCTGGCGCCAGACCTGCTTTGTTTACACCCGTACCTGGACACACCTGAACCAGACATGGATGACCCAGCGTGTATCCTTGCTACACACACATATATATACACACCATGCAACATATCATTCTACATACACTTATCAAAGCACATTTTTTGAGCTAATTTCCTAACGTACATTTGTAACTTAAAGACAAGTTTATGCCAATAAATTTTAAGCGCTATCAAACACAAAAGAAACTTGTCCAAAAAATGTAAAACACAGTGTTCAGCATTGATTTCTTTGACTAGCACAGACATCACAGTTCTTGTTCTAGTGTTCAATGCAGCCTCCATCACCCCCTCAATGGTACCACTGTTCCAGGAACATACACGACGCCACTACTCTTACCTCCGCTCTTGTTTACAGGGCTATGTCCCTATCATCCAGGTATGTCCCAGTAAGCCGTGTATGTCCCTATCATCCAGGTATGTCCCTACATCCGGGTATGTCCCTGTCTTCTGGGTATGTCCCTTTCATATCCTTTCCTGACCATGCCTGGTTAAACAACATTTATACAGGGTCTAGTCAGTTAAACAGTATGAACACAATGCCATGTCCTCTTCATTATCAACCCACACCCACCTCCCCTAGATATCAATTTTTTTGTAGCCTCATGTCCATATTCTTCTCCTGTCCTGTCATTTAGCAATTGCTAGCGCTTCCCTTTTCATGTAATCATTTGAGAACTTTTAGTTTGCTGTTTTCCACGTCCAAATTGTGTTTATATCTTTCTGCAAAATTTGTTTTTTCTCTCCCCTGACTATCAGAGTCTTGAAATGGTGGAGCCAGCCCAAGGTGTGAAGCATCAAGTGACCAGCAGCATGGACACGAGCAAGTTCCTGGAGGAGCTCACCCACAGGCTGCGTAACATTGACTCAATGGAGTTCTCATCTGTTGTCTCTATACTAGAGGTGGCTGTAAGGTGAGTACACTTTGTCGTGTCCAGATTTTGTTTAATGTAAACAAACATCTTTGGGCCCAGTTGAGTGTCTTCATCTACTCTGTTGACTGTCTTTATCTACTCTGTTGACTGTCTTCATATACTCTGTTGACTGTCTTCATCTACTCTGTTGACTGTCTTCATCTGTTGACTGTCCTTATCTACTCTGTTGACTGTCTTCATATACTCTGTTGAGTGTCTTCATCTACTCTGTTGACTGTCTTCAACTCTCTGTTGACTGTCTTCATCTGTTGACTGTCTTCATCTACTCTGTTGACTGTCTTCATCTACTCTGTTGACTGTCTTCATCTACTCTGTTGACTGTCTTCATCTACTCTGTTGACTGTCTTCATATACTCTGTTGACTGTCTTCATCTACTCTGTTGACTGTCTTCATCTGCTCTGTTGACTGTCTTCATCTACTCTGTTGACTGTCTTCATCTACTCTGTTGACTGACTTCATCTACTCTGTTGACTGTCTTCATCTGTTGACTGTCTTCACCTACTCTGTTGACTGTCTACATTTACTCTGTTGACCTTGTTCATGTGTGTAGATCATTGAAGTCCAAATTGAGCACTACTTGCCATTTTGTTCTGACAGAGACTTACACCAAGCCAAACAGTTGGACCAGAGAATCTCAGCATCAGCGGACTGTGCCAGCATCTTTCTGCAGGCTCAGCTTCTTCTCACTAAGGTAATCAAACTTAATTAATGAGTTAAAGCTAATTGTTTCAACATCTTCTAAGGTAATCAAACTTAGATAATTAATGAGTGAAAGCTAATTGTTTCAACATCTTCTAAGGTAATCAAACTTAGATAATTAACGAGTGAAAGCTAATTGTTTCAACATCTTCTAAGGTAATCAAACTTAGATAATTAACGAGTGAAAGCTAATTGTTTCAACATATTCTAAGGTAATCAAACTTAGATAATTAACGAGTTAAAGCTAATTGTTTCAACATCTTCTAAGGTAACCAAACTTAGATAATTCATCTTCTAACTATATACTTAGATAATTAATTAGTTCTGCCTTTTTTTTTAATTTCTTCTAAGGCAGTGGGATTTAAACTAATTAATGATGAAGAGCTAATTGTCTGAGCTATTTCAAACTTAGGTTTGACGCAGTGGTAATCATTCCACTTTAGAAACAATGTACTGCTAATGAAATATAATCAAAACTAAGTTTTAATTAGAAATTAGATGTACCCATGAAGCAGAAAATAATAGATTTTTCAATATTTTGTTATTAGAATGTCTTAGCATCAGAATTGGGCAAATTGCTAACAAGATTTTGTTTTGTTCCAGTTACTGACCCGGGTCAACGACCCTTCCCAGTGTGACTCAGATACAGATGGGGTGAACTCTTCAGTGGAGAAGGTAAACCCTACCAGAAACAGAATAACTGAAAACAATATACTACAAAAATGACACATTATATTTTTTCTTTTGCTAGTAAATTTTTATGATTATTATATGATATTAGTTTTACAAAATTGATTACATTTTTATGTGGAATTTATTAAAATGGAAATGAGTTTTTTAGTGTGCAGAGAAAAGGGAAATAATTCATGGCATATTGATGCAGGTTATCTATCTTGTTGAACCCACAGATCCTAGAGCTAACAACAAAGTTACAGACCATGTACCTGGGCCTGACAAGTGACCTGATCTGGTCAGTTCGTCAGCTGGAACTTAAGGCCCTCACCCTACAGCTCGTGGTCACCTTGAGCCGGGGCACCACGGAGGAGAAGAAGAGGATGTGTGAAAGTTTTAAGCACTGTTTGACTCACATCAACAGGTAGCCAGATTTTTATTAATTCACATCAACAGATAGCCAGATTTTTATTGACTCACATCAACAGGTAGCCAGATTTTTATTGTCTCACATTAACAGGTAGCCAGATTTTTATTAATTCACATCAACAGGTAGCCAGATTTTTATTGAATTATATTAACAGGTAGCCAGATTTATATTGAATTATATTAACAGGTTGCCAGATTTTTATTGTTTGACTCACATTACCACAGGTAGCCATATTTTTATTGTTTGACTCACATTACCACAGGTAGCCATATTTTTATTGTTTGGATAGGATTAACAACTTGCCAGATTTTCATGCTGAAGTTTTAAAGTCCCCAAAAACAAATTGTAGAATATTTTATGAAAATAATTTTACTTATTGGCCTGTAATGAAAAAAAGAATTGTGCTATTAGACCTACAGCCTGCATTCAATTTAAAACACCTCAGTTTATCTGAAGAACTGTGTCTCAATATTAAAAATTAAATTTATAAAGCATTTTTTTAAAAGTAATAAATATTGTCAAAGGCGCATGAATTGATTGTGCTGATATGGCAGAGCCTGTCTTTGACTATGGCAACTATACACTGGGATCGATGGAAAGGATTGATTTTACCGTTTTTCTATAGCTTTATATTCTCTGTCCTATATTAGATCCTGACACGAAACTTTTGATATCAATTACCTGCTAGAAATTCAATTTTCTAATCATTAAAATAATTCTTAATTAGTTCCAAGTCAAATGTCTTTTTTGCTGTTGTCCACAAAATTTATTCTTTTATGTTAATTACCACAACCATGATATTATCTATATATATAATTCTCTTCATGGGGACCATGTGAGACACAACGTAAACACACACCGCAACTCCCCTGCTCTCCTAGCATATCGCCAACACCCTCATCCCCACCAGTCTGGCGAGCTTTGGTTTACAATCGTTGAGCCGGTGTTGGTTTCACAAATTATGAATTGCTGATAAGCAAAAAATAAAACAACTAGATAGCGACGTATGCTACGTTGCGGGTCAGCTCATAATAATTACGTAAAATTTCTAAAACTCTAGAAGACACAGCACCTCTCTGACCTTGACCCTCAGATCCAGCGTGTTGTTTGTTTGCTACACAGGTCCATGGAGACAGAAACTGGCAAGACAGACGTGCTGACACACCACCTGCTCGCTCACCTTGACCTTATCGACCCAACACACCTGCAGGGTACACACAGTGTGCTGCAGACCGCGCTCGCCATCTTACGACCCAGCCCAGTCCCGCACCTGCGCGGAGTCAGGGTAATGCATGCTGTGTTGGAAGAGCCAATAGAAAACCAGGAAACTGCAATCAAGATGGCTGCTGGATTGACGGCAGGGCTACGGGTGGTGGGGGTGGTGGAAAATATTACAGACGTCAAGCTGGTTAGGATTCAGGTTTGTGCTTAGATGCTGGTGTAGTATTGTCTAATGCTGTATTGTGACACTGGTGTAGCATTGTCTGATGTTGTATTGTGACGCAAGTGTAGCACCATCTAATGTTGTATTGTGATGCAGGTGTAGCACCATCAAATGTTGTTGTATTGTGACGCAGGTGAAGCACCACCTAATGTTGTATTGTGATGCAGGTGTAGCACCATCTAATGTTGTATTGTGACGCAGGTGTAGCACCATCTAATGTTGTTGTATTGTGACGCAGGTGAAGCACCACCTAATGTTGTATTGTGATGCAGGTGTAGCACCATCTAATGTTGTATTGTGACGCAGGTGTAGCACCATCTAATGTTGTTGTATTGTGACGCAGGTGTAGCACCACCTAATGTTGTATTGTGATGCAGGTGTAGCACCATCTAATGTTGTATTGTGACGCAGGTGTAGTACCATCTAATGTTGTTGTATTGTGACGCAGGTGTAGCACCATCTAATGTTGTATTGTGACGCAGGTGTAGTACCATCTAATGTTGTTGTATTGTGACGCAGGTGTAGCACCATCTAATGTTGTATTGTGACGCAGGTGTAGCACCATCTAATGTTGTTGTATTGTGACGCAGGTGTAGCACCATATAATGTTGTTGTATTGTGACGCAGGTGTAGCACCATCTAATGTTGTTGTATGTGACGCAGGTGTAGCACCATCTAATGTTGTATTGTGACGCAGGTGAAGTACCCTGACCAACAGAGCCAACTGGTGAGTCCCCCGTCATCCTGCTGGACACGCTTGAGTAACCTTCGATATAGACTGGACACAGAAGTGGTCATGTCCCACGCCCTCTGGTCAGGTAAGACCTACCTCAATATACAGCTGCTCACTAGGTCTTCACCTAACCTCTGACCTTCAGGTGTCTCAGCTGTAGGTCAGTTCTCTTGGTTAAATATCTCACTCTGTCTCACCACTTTTCACATTTCTTACTTCAATACTTGTTTCTTGTCTCACCACTTGTCTTGTCTCACCATTTGTCTCAAGATTTGTATCACCATGTGTCTCACCATTCGTATCACCACTTGTCTCAACATTTGTATCACCACTTGTCTCAATATTTGTAACATTACTTGTTCTAAGTCTCACTATTTATATCACCACTTGTTTCAAGTCTCACCATTTGTATCCCTACTTGTCTCACACTTTGTATCTCTCCCTTACCACTCTACACCCCACCACCATCCCCACCACACAGAGAGCTGTAACATTGAAATCTCCCTGGTGGTAGAACCATGCAGCAGCTTCAGGCAGCTCTTCAAGAAACCTGCCATGGTGGAGCTGGTCACCCCGGTCAAGATCCTGGTCTCCACCAAGGCCCACAAGTTTTAAGCTGGTCACCCCGGTCAAGATCCTGGTCTCCACCAAGGCCCACAAGTTTTAAGCTGGTCACCCCGGTCAAGATCCTGGTCTCCACCAAGGCCCACAAGTTTTAAGCTGGTCACCATGGTCAAGATCCTGGTCACCATGGTCAAGATCCTGGTCTCCACCAAGGCCCACAAGTTTTAAGCTGGTCACCATGGTCAGATCCTGGTCACCATGGTCAAGATCCTGGTCACCATGGTCAAGATCCTGGTCTCCACCAAGGCCCACAAGTTTTAAGCTGGTCACCATGGTCAAGATCCTGGTCACCATGGTCAAGATCCTGGTCTCCACCAAGGCCCACAAGTTTTAAGCTGGTCACCATGGCCAAGATCTTGGTCATACCCGGTCAAGATCCTAGTCTCCACCAAGGCCCACAAGTTTTAAGCTGGTCACCATGGTCAAGATCCTGGTCACCATGGTCAAGATCCTGGTCACCATGGTCAAGATCCTGGTCTCCACCAAGGCCCACAAGTTTTAAGCTGGTCACCATGGTCAAGATCCTGGTCACCATGGTCAAGATCCTGGTCACCATGGTCAAGATCCTGGTCACCATGGTCAAGATCCTGGTCTCCACCAAGGCCCACAAGTTTTAAGCTGGTCACCATGGTCAAGATCCTGGTCACCATGGTCAAGATCCTGGTCTCCACCAAGGCCCACAAGTTTTAAGCTGGTCACCATGGTCAAGATCCTGGTCTCCACCAAGGCCCACAAGTTATTAGCTGGTCTCCATGGTCAAGATCCTGGTCACCATGGTCAAGATCCTGGTCTCCACCAAGGCCCACAAGTTTTAAGCTGGTCACCATGGTCAAGATCCTGGTCTCCACCAAGGCCCACAAGTTTTAAGCTGGTCACCATGGTCAAGATCCTCAGTGGGGGACTAAATCTTTGATATCGTAATGCTTGAATCAAGTCTGGCCGACCAACTTGAAACAGATATACTTGCCATGGAACAAAATGTTAGTTCACATGATAGACTGCTTGCATCAAGCAAGGCTATTGGTGTTTTTTGGGCATTGTTTTATCTGAAAACATGTATTTTGTTGGACACAATTTTGTTGTGTTTGTAAAAAGTGTAATTAATTGTTAAAGAGATTAAATAATTTTGTGGAATTTATGTGAACTGATCCTAGAATATTTTTTTTTTAAATTTAGCTCAACTGCCCAACTGTAGGCCTAGGTGTATACTTCTACTTGTCTAACTGAATCAACTTACTTGCACTTGTTCACCAATATTTACTACTTTATTATTTACTGTAAAATTCCCCCCTCACATCCACACACAAAAGGGTTAACCTGCATTCACAATGTACACACTGTCATGTACAGGGCTGTACCCCTGTTGCCATAGAAACCCAGCTGAACAGTTTATTTAATCACGGTAGCCATATTTATAAAGTAGTGCGTCTCACTAAGTGAGCGATGCAGGAAATAGAAGTAACGAACCCTCATGGTTTTACAGGATCGTTGCGCTATGCTATTATTCTGTGCATACACAATAACTTGTAATGATACCAAAAAAATTTGGTTAATATGAAAAAACCATAAAATAAATAATACACATATATTTAGTCATTTAAAATATTTTTTTTCCAAACACATTTTAGATTCTACTTTTGAAATATAGTAAAAGATACTTCTAAAAAAAATAAAACACTTCAATTATCATCATGGAAGGTACATGTACAAAAACATATTAAATTAGCATAATTATTGGGAGAACTTTTTGAGAGGTTTGGTTGGTTTCTGTGGATATCCACATCAGGATCAGTGGGTCCAAAGTCTGGGGTAAAATTGTGGAAGGGGGGGGGGGGATGACGACTAAAATTCGACTGTTTTATGGATGTCACATATGACCACTTAATGAAATGGACAGGCAAACCGTTGTATATTTTCTTGGCATATTTATTATGTTTTATGAACATACACTGTGCATCAAACAAACCAGACCCAACTCTAAGGTGTATCAATATGACTTTGGTCTATGGACGGGATTGGATTTAGACTTGATAAGGGCCATAGTGGTTTGAGATATGGGGTCCCACCATAAGCCTAGATATCATCACTGAAGACCTTCTATGATCTTCAGTTGTTTGTTATAGGGACTTGTAACAGAGCAGTATATTAATATTACACAACACAAATTGCTACATATTACTGGCACTATGTGGTTTTAAAATAAGTCTATGGGATGGGAAAAATGATATGAAGTCAAGGCATAATCAGAATGATTACATTGCAAAATATTTGATATCTTGCACTACATTATAATACGTGACCTAAATTATTATATTACAGTTAAATGCCAATCTACTATTCCATCACTAAAGATAACATAATAAATTTATTTAAGTCTCTAGAAGACTGTGTTTGGATACAGGTTTTCATCGTGCTGTTACCTCCCTTGGATATGGTTTAACAGAATTCTCTCCCCTTAACTGCAGCGTGATAAAAATATCTCGTGAAAACAATCGCCGTTGGAATTGATAACAAAAAATAAAAATTGATGAATGAGTCCTGTCAATATTGTGGACAGTTTTTAGCAATATTTCAACACGCTCCTTTAGAAACTTAAAAATTTAGAATCTTCCAGATTTTTTTTCACCTTTTGAGAGCTGCCACTTCAACTGGAAGATCAATGGACATTTTTTTTTCTGGATGACAGAACTCTAGCATCGTTCACTCCGATAGGCGGGATCGATACTTAATCTCCACATAAAGGGAATCGATACCTGACCCCGCATTGAGTAGAAACAATGTTTTGTTACAGTAGCACCTTCATTAGATCTGAGAAACGAAACCGTTAATTAGCGACTAACGTCCGCGCCCCTACCCCGGGGGTGGACGGGGGTAAGTCCAGGTGGGCAGACAAAAAATCCCAGTGGGCCGCCAAAATCAATGCTGTTATTGACATATCAGTGCTTTCAGTGACGTAGCCAGGAATTGGTCATGGGAGGGTTTGAAACATTTTTCCATATGTATACAATATTATATATATATATATATATATATATATATATATATATATATAAAGGGGTCTATGGGAGGGGTTATAAACCCTCCCCCTCCTCCTCCTCCCCCTTGCCTACGCCACTGAGTGCTTTGACTTAAACAAAACAATATCTTTGTTTGATTCACCCTTCCTATTTGTCGTTTGTTTATCACTGTCAATGTATATTGCAATCTGTAAAGTGACACGTGACTTTGTAGGCCTCGGTCTCCAGACTTGGATAAAAAAAATTTTCTATGAAAATTTTAAGTCGGGAGATGGCCGCTTTTATTTAATGCCCGGGCCGCTTAGATATAGCCAGTCCGTCCCTGTCCCAACCCCTCAAATTAATGTTTGTGTAATTTACCCTTATATTGCAACTCCAACAATTGGAGTTTCTTATACTCAAGTATAACGAAATACTAGACTATCATAGTTTTAACTTTAGGATTCCTGCATCAGCCCATGTAACACAACAATACATTTTTTGGTCCCCGCTTCTCCCCTTTAGACTGGAAGATCTTTAGACGTTACATAACATTTCTGAAGACAAACCCCTCATATAATTTTTAGAGCCTCCGTCCCTCACTCACTACCACCCTCCCCTACCCCTTAAGAGCGTCCACCAGGTGAGCTTTACATCACCTGCCTATGATAAAAAAAAATGTATGTTTGTTGTAAAAATCAATAAACATTAAATTGCTACACAACTGCCGGGAAGTAACGTTATAAAATATGCAGAGCTTACATCAAAATGCACAAATTTAAGTTTTTAACAAACGACAAAAAAAAAAAAAAAAAAAAATTTAAAACTAAATAAAACATGAAAAAAGATAAGTATTATCAGTATTAAAATAGTAAAGTTCCCTTTTCGAATCTGATAGTCCATGAGGCAAGCGAAGTAGAGTTCACCTGTTTCTGTGACCTCGGCAAATGAATGGTCAGCAATTTGCCCAGCTGCCTTTACATTCCCTAACGAGCTGGGTGGACTCAGGGACGTTTTACTTACTTGAGCACGGATTCGAACTCAAGACTTTCAGGTTAGCAGTCTAGTACTGTATTATTCAAATATATTAAAAAATATTACAAAATATCCAAAGCTAAGTGCTGGAAAGTTTGGTAGTGAATCTCTACAAAACATCAACATCTTTAAGAAAAAAAAAATCGGTTACCTTGCCCGCCATTATTGTATCGACTAAAGCTTCAGACACAATATTCTCTCCCCTCCCCCACCTCTCCAAAGTTTGTTTTCCCATAAAATTGTGGGAATTCATGCCTTGACATGCGCAGTTGTCTAATGTCCACATCCGGTCTGAAAGCAGCAACAAAATTCGAACGGGCTGGAAGCTATGCCACCATCGTCAGAAATAAATTTTTATTAGGAAGAAATCTCTTGCCATGCGCAGAAGACATAAAAGACGATTGATCATGCGCAGAAACCAGACGCGCTGGCACATTAAACCATCCTGATAAAATATCGTATTTCTAGTTTTTAATTCTAAAATGAATTACAATTTTTAAAAATATCCTTTAAAGGTCATGAGAAAAAGGGGAAATTTCTGTGTTGGGTAAATAGCTGGCATGAATAAAACCTGAGCAGTTTGTATTTTGACTCCGTTATAAGGATCGTTTGACACAGGATTGTCTTGGAGTCTGACACAAGTGCAGGATTAACCTGCCGGCTATCACAGGTACAAGATTAACCCGCAGGCTGTCACATTTACAGGATTAACCTTCATACAGTCACAAGATTAACCTGTATAATGTCAGAGGTACAGGATTAATCTGCGAAAATTCGCGGATTCAGGATTAACCTGCAGACAGTCTAAATTAATCTACCGATATCTAATCTGCATTAGACATTTTTCTACTCTGGTGAGGACATAAAAAAACATTGAGAACAGCGCCCAAGACAAATTTATTAAAACATACTAGAGTAAAAGCCGACAAAAAACAACGAAGAACAGTAAAGCAAAACCGAATAAAAAAGAAAATTCACAAAAGTTTATTAACATTCGATAAAAAAGCTATTCAGAGCTTCTAGAAACCTCCACCAAATGTGTGCGAGAGGCAAATGACAGTTCGTTTAAGTGGGTCAACGATTAGGTAGGCGAAGTTTTGTCTGTGACGTCTGCTAGAGGGGAAGTAACTCCCGCCTTTGTCATCCTGTTTAAAAAAAGGTAAAAATCAAAATTTATCAGATTTGGATACAGAGCCTGGGTTAATATAAAATGTGAGAAAATGTATTTTTGTTAATAATGAGATAAATTTTTTATCATGAATAAAAATAATTGTGGTTGAAAGAGAGAGGGGAAAAAAATCTAGGGTAGAAAAAAAATGATAATCTAGACTTGAATATTTGAAATCTGGCCGCAAGATGAAGGGGGTTAAAAGATACCAAATCCACAGGGGGTGGTTTTAGTTTTCATGTATGGGCGTTTAGAATATCAAAGTTGGAATCGTTTTGTGTACAAAGGTCAACAAAAGATTAAAATCAGCTCGAGAAATATTTTTTATTGTTTAAAACAATTTTTACAAAATGTCATTTGAATATGACAAAGACAGGTCAAGATCCTATAGTTAAACTAGACACCTAAGGTTAATATCCTATGGCTATATCCTATAGTAGACACCCAAGGTTAATATCCTATGGCTATATCCTATAGTAGACACCTAAGGTTAATATCCTATAGCTATATCCTATAGTAGATATCCCAAATATTTCAAGAATTGATAATCAATAGCAAATTTTCGCCTAGTAAACCATAATTATAAAATTTCAAGAGTTCTGTGCAATATATTTATATTTTTAGTCGATGAATTAATTTGGTAAACCAATTTTGACAAAGCCAATTAAGAATAAAATCAACCCTTTTATGCCTTTAAATAAAAAATAAAATTCGAATTATTTCGTTTCAATGAGCACAAAATGCAGTTTGATCCCATTAAATTTGTTCGTTTTGAGTTTTGTAAAAACCGCTAGCTACAATCCAATCAGTCTTGGATTGTGTTGAAAAGTAATTGAGGTAACGATACCAGTTCACGTAGCCCAAATGAAGTATCGATGTAACGATACAAGTTCAAATAACCCAAATGAGATAACAATACAAATTAACGTATCCAAAATGAAGTTAACCGAATCCTAAAAGACGTTAAACTGGAAATAATTGAGTTAAAAATAAGTTGAGCGGTGGAGAGATCACATTAGAGATTTAAAGATGGGGTTAATTTGGTCGCTCTTTTTGGTGAGAGAGAGAGAGAGAGAGAAAGGGGGGGGGGCAATTGAGAGGCGGGAGGGAAGCGAAACAAGAGAGGGAGGGAGATAGATTGGGAGAGAAAGGGAGAGGGAGGGGGAATGAGATGCGTGAGAGGGTGGGGAAGAAATCGGGAGAGAAAGCGCGCGAGAGAGAGAGGGGGGGGAGATATAGTGAAAGAGAGGGAGATGGGAGAGTGAGAGAGGTAGGGAGAGAAAACTGAGGGTGTGAGATGGAGAACGGTGTGAGAGAGTGAGAGAGATAGGGAGAGAAAACCGATGGTGTCTGTAAGATGGAGAACGGTGTGAGAGATTGGCTGTAATGGCAGGGTAGGGGAACCAGCAGACGAGAGGGGCGGGGCTGACTTCTGGTCACCGGGGGTAGCAATTGTCAGCTGACCCAGAGGATGTCTTAAGTATAGGGTGACCAACCCACTCCAACCAGTGGACTTGGTGACCAACCCACTCCAACCAGTGTAACAACCCACTCCAACCAGTGGACTTGGTGACCAACCCACTCCAACCAGTGTAACAACCCACTCCAACCAGTGGACTTGGTGACCAACCCACTCCAACCAGTGTAACAACCCACTCCAACCAGTGGACTTGTTGACCAACCCACTCCAACCAGTGTAACAACCCACTCCAACCAGTGGACTTGGTGACCAACCCACTCCAACCAGTGGACTTGGTGACCAACCCACTACAACCAGGGGACTTGGTGACCAACCCACTCCAACCAGTGGACTTGGTGACCAACCCACTCCAACCAGTGTAACAACCCACTCCAACCAGTGTAACAACCCACTCCAACCAGTGTAACAACCCACTCCAACCAGTGGACTTGGTGACCAACCCACTCCAACCAGTGTAACAACCCACTCCAACCAGTGGACTTGGTGACCAACCCACTCCAACCAGTAGACTTGGTGACCAACCCGCTCCAACCAGTAGACTTGGTGACCAACCCGCTCCAACCAGTAGACTTGGTGACCAACCCACTCCAACCAGTGGACTTGTTGACCAACCCACTCCAACCAGTGTAACAACCCACTCCAACCAGTGGACTTGTTGACCAACCCACTCCAACCAGTGTAACAACCCACTCCAACCAGTGTAACAACCCACTCCAACCAGTGGACTTGTTGACCAACCCACTCCAACCAGTGTAACAACCCACTCCAACCAGTGTAACAACCCACTCCAACCAGTGTAACAACACACTCCAACCAGTGGACTTGTTGACCAACCCACTCCAACCAGTGTAACAACCCACTCCAACCAGTGGACTTGGTGACCAACCCACTCCAACCAGTGGACTTGGTGACCAACCCACTCCAACCAGTGGACTTGGTGACCAACCCACTCCAACCAGTGGACTTGGTGACCAACCCACTCCAACCAGTGGACTTGGTGACCAACCCACTCCAACCAGTGTAACAACCCACTCCAACCAGTGTAACAACCCACTCCAACCAGTGTAACAACCCACTCCAACCAGTGTAACAACCCACTCCAACTCAGTGTAACAGCCCACTACATCCAAGGTTCCTAACTTCATTATCAAACACTAATTTAAAAAAAATGTAAATTAATTGGACCAACAATTACCCAAACACGATTGCAATTAGATCTTTGTTAAATACTTAATAGCGCTGCTTAAATTGAATTTCAATTAGCTATATTTATTTAAAACTAATTAGGCCGCTACAATAATGATGGACGGGGAAGTACAGACGTACTCAAATGATTTGATTAAGCGAATCGAATTACACATGACGTAGCTTTTAATTCCTTACAAGGTAGCCTTAGATTACCTACAAGGTAGCCTTAGATTACCTACAAGGTAGCTTTAGATTACCTACAAGGTAGCCTTAAATTCTTTACAAGGTAGCCTTAGATTACCTACAAGGTAGCCTTTAATTCCTTACAAGGTAGCCTCAAACCAAAGCTAAAGTAGCCACCTATTACCAGATATCCCCAATAATTATCCGCAATCAATCAATAACTGATCACAGTATGAACCCAACCATCAACCGATGGTACAACCTGATGCAACTCGCAACTTCAAAGAATTTCTGAGCTTTTAAAATATTATCAGCTTTACAGTTTTTACAAATCACGAGGCTATTTTTAGTTAACAGCGCATGCGCAATGCGATTATACAGCAATTAGTTCCGCTGATACATAGGTTAACAAGGCTTATCGTGAAGAATGGCGTCAACTCAAATATCTCGATCTAAAGCTATGGCGATGATTAGGTGGTTTTATAGGAAGGGGGCGGAACTCTTTGATGTAGATAAAAATAGTTTTGTTGGCTGGAACGCAGGAGATAGACATGGACATAACAATACAGGTCATGACAGGTGTAGCCATGGTGCTACATCATGACAGGTGTAGCCATGGTGCTACATTATGACAGGTGTAGCCATAGTGCTACATCATGACAGGTGTAGCCATGGTGCTACATTATGACAAGTGTAGCCATGATGCTACATCATGACGGGTGTAGCCATGGTGCTACATCATGACAGGTGTAGCCATGGTGCTACATTATGACAGGTGTAGCCATGGTGCTACATCATGACATGTGCAGGTAGCCATGGTGCTACATTATGACAGGTGTAGCCATGGTGCTACATCATGACAGGTGTAGCCATGGTGCTACATCATGACAGGTGTAGCCATGGTGCTACATTATGACAGGTGTAGCCATGGTGCTACATCATGACATGTGCAGGTAGCCATGGTGCTACATTATGACAGGTGTAGCCATGGTGCTACATCATGACAGGTGTAGCCATGGTGCTACATCATGACATGTGTAGCCATGGTGCTACATCATGACAGGTGTAGCCATGGTGCTACATTATGACAGGTGTAGCCATGGTGCTACATCATGACAGGTGTAGCCATGGTGCTACACTATGACAGGTGTAGCCATGGTGCTACATCATGACATGTGCAGGTAGCCATGGTGCTACATTATGACAGGTGTAGCCATGGTGCTACATTATGACAGGTGTAGCCATGATGCTACATCATGACGGGTGTAGCCATGGTGCTACATCATGACAGGTGTAGCCATGGTGCTACATTATGACAGGTGTAGCCATGGTGCTACATCATGACATGTGCAGGTAGCCATGGTGCTACATTATGACAGGTGTAGCCATGGTGATACATGATGACAGGTTTAGCCATGGTGCTACATCATGACAGGTGTAGCCATGGTGCTACATCATGACAGGTGTAGCCATGGTGCTACATCATGACAGATGTAGCCATGGTGCTACATTATGACAGGTGTAGCCATGGTGCTACATCATGACAGGTGTAGCCATGGTGCTACATCATGACATGTGCAGGTAGCCATGGTGCTACATTATGACAGGTGTAGCCATGGTGCTACATCATGATATGTGCAGGTAGCCATGGTGCTACATCATGACAGGTGTAGCCATGGTGCTACATTATGACAGGTGTAGCCATGGTGCTACATCATGACAGGTGTAGCCATGGTGCTACATTATGACAGGTGTAGCCATGGTGCTACATCATGACATGTGCAGGTAGCCATGGTGCTACATTATGACAGGTGTAGCCATGGTGCTACATTATGACAGGTGTAGCCATGATGCTACATCATGACGGGTGTAGCCATGGTGCTACATCATGACAGGTGTAGCCATGGTGCTACATTATGACAGGTGTAGCCATGGTGCTACATCATGACATGTGCAGGTAGCCATGGTGCTACATCATGACAGGTGTAGCCATGGTGCTACATCATGACATGTGCAGGTAGCCATGGTGCTACATCATGACAGGTGTAGCCATGGTGCTACATCATGACAGGTGTAGCCATGGTGCTACATCATGATAGGTGTAGCCATGGTGCTACATCATGATA